AGGCAACTGGACTTTCTGGTTTTTCTTCTAAGATGTTTCGCTTTTCATCCAAGAAGCTTCTTCAACTCTGACTAGATCAGGGGCCTTCAAACTTGACAGCTTTAAGACTTGTAGACTTCAACTCCCAGAATTCCTCCTCCAGTCATGTTAGCTCAGGAATTCTGGGACTTGAAGTCCACAAGTCTTAAAGTTGCCAGATTTAAAGACCCTTGGACTAGAGGGCAATGGAAGGATTTATACTCCTTGAGGACAGCTGGTCATTTGCATCCTTTTAGGGAGTTATTGAGGCTACTTGGAGAACCCTCAACAGAGGGGGAGGGGATACATCATCTATCTCCAATCTACAACACAGTCCTTTAAACAGTTCCAAAAAGGCTGCACACCCATTTACATTGAGGTGACCCTGAGGACACAGATAAACCTCCAAGTGGCCTTAATGATTCTCTAAAAAGGATGCAAATGACCAGCTGTCTGCAAGGAGTATAAATCCTTCCATTCCCCACCATCCAGTCAGAGCCGAAGAAGCTTCTTGGATGAGAAGCTAAACATATTCAAAGAAAAAAAAGGGTCCATTTGCCTCTTAAATAAAAAGCACCTTTGGAATAGCCTCAAAACAGCTAGTTGGCTTCCATACTTAAGGTAGAACTGGAACTCACGGTCTCCTGGTGATTGGCCCAAAGTCATCCAGCTGATTTGCATGTCTTAAGTTGAGACTACAACTCATCATCGGTTGCTTTCTCAACTACTGTCCACATTGACGCCAAGCGTTGACTTGGCTGTCCGTCTCTCCGTCTCTGCTGGGGTAGAAAAGGAAGGAATTTGACTGGAACTTCTGAGTGAAGCTGCTGGGCTGTTTTTAGTTTCTCTGCTCCTCAGCATTAGTTGCTGGTTGAGCTGATAATCACTCCTCTTTCTCAACCGCAAATTCTTGTTTTTGTACAAATCTTACTTCCAACCTACCCACTCCTTTTATAATTGAAATCCAGATATGGTGCAATTCTTTTCGGATGGTCTTAAAGCCCCAGAGAAGAAAACCAAGAGAAAGAATGTCTGTAGAGATTCTGAATCATCCAGGTCATGGTGGTCCCAAAGATGCCCACCATTTTGGAGTATGAAAGGAACAGGTCTTGGGATCTTCAGTTGGATCACTTCCAAAAGGCAATTGGACTTTCTTTCTTTCTTTTTTTCTTGAAAATGTTTCACTTCTCATCTAACAAGCTTCTTTAGTTCAAACTGACTGCTGGGGAATGGATTTATATTCTTTGCAATCGTTTTGTCGTAAGCACTCTGAGGATCCGTTGTAACCCTGGGAAGCAAAAGGTTTTCAAACAAAAACAAAAAAAACAAGGAAGTCCAAATGCATCTTGGATAAAGCATCTTTGGGACAATGAAATGCTTTTCTTCTACGGTTCAGTGGAAAAGGTATTGTGCATTAGAGAAGGTGTTTTACTAGACATGCGATAGATTGCTAGAGTGCCCTTTCCTCTTAAATATGCAATGTATTATTTTCAAATCATTTTGTTAAGATTAAAAAGAAATGGCTCTATTAGGAGCTGTACCGTAGGACAGTGGTAAGCAATTAAATGAGCAGCTATGGAGTTTAAGGTTCTTGGCTAGATGCAGGAAGATCTGAGTTTGAGTCTTTATTTCTTAAAAGTTGCTTATTAACTTTAGACTGGTGGATCTCTTTCATCCCAATGACCTCATAAGGTTGATGGTCTTTCCGATCCCTTCCAATTCCACATATTTTTTTTTCATTCTATGACTATAAAAACAAACTCAAAGGAATAAATAGAAACAATAGTAAAATCTCAGAAAGTGGAACAGGAAAGGTACTTAATCTAAAGTATCACAAGCAAAAGTAAATGCAGGTAGTCCTCAATTTACAACCACAATGGTTTTTTTCAGATGTTGGAGTACTGCCTAAGTAAACGCTATTTTCCAAATAAACCATAGATTGTGGTGTGGAGAAAAACTGAGAATATCATTACCGTCGTAACATCAAGACCTCAATGAAAAAAACAAATGAATTGAAAACAGAAAACTTCCTGGAGAGGAAGTTCAATACAGGGACTAAACAGATGCTGAAGAACAAACATTTCAAACTAAATTAATTGAATTGAGCTGTACTGTATAAATCTTGAGGTTAAGCTTGATTCCTGTTGACTAGCAGAGACGTCCGTGCTGTTTTCTTGGCACAATGCAAAATGGGTTCAGCAAGCAATAACACTTAGATATGCTCCACAATGCTTTACAGCCCTCTCTAAGCAGTTTACAGTATCAGCCTCTTGCCCCCAACAGTCTGGGTTCCTCATTTTACCGACCTCGGAAGGATGGAAGGCTGAGCTAACCTTGAGCCGGGTCTGGATCGGACTGCTGGCAGTGGGCAGAGTTAGCCTGCAATCCTGCATTCTAACCACTGCACCACCACAGCTTTTCCACTCTGGCTTTTGTCCAAACGTCAACTTAGGAAATGGATACAAGTACCTTATCTTTGTCTGAATATTGGTACATTTAATGACATGTTCACAATTAAAGTGATTACCTACAAGACTGAAAATATAAGTATGAATTAGCCTCACTTATCCAAGAAACGTATAAAACTAGATCTAATGACTTAATTCTTAACTAATGATTTTTTTTAATTGATTACATGCCATCAAGTCTTGGTCAACTTGTTCTTTTATGAGAAGAACTTTCCAACTTTCAGTAAAAGGTAAGACTGTTCAATCTCTGCTTCTTAATTGTTTGAGCGGAGCAACTAGAGTCCTGTCTTGTCTATGGAAAGCAAGAATTTGCAAAGAGGAAAAGCAAGTTCCTTCAGAGTTGGCTTTCAGTTAGATTTAATGTCACAGCCACAGCTGACTGAAGAGCTCAATGAATGGTCTTTGGGAAGTTTCGGTCCAGCTATCTCACAGGACTGCTTTTATGAGAGAGAGAAAAAACCCTGGGAAATCTCCCATGTACAGTAATTTGCCTTGATAAAGCCATTTTATTTATTCATAAATGCAATGAATAAGTAAGTGGATCTCTGGTAGTTTGAAAATTAGCTTTCTAATTCTTCCTGTAACCAAGATAATATGAGTGCAAAACAAAATGGCTTTGGGAATAAACACACAAATATACAATTTCAAAAATTTATTTCAAAATTCAAAGCAAAAAAACACAATCCCATTTATGAAAAACAAGTGGCACAAAAATATTACAGATGAAACTTAAGCGGTTAGGTATGTACCATCCAGTTGGTGTTGACTATTGATCATAGAAATATTTTTCCATTAAAATCTGCCCAATACAAAAGTGAAATTGTGGAGGAAAAGCAAAAGCATAATTCAAAGTCAGGTGTTACCCTGCACAAATTACAATATTTTGATAAATTATAGAAATGCATAGTACTCCAGATTCAAAAGGCAAAGTGTGATTCAGTGTATGAATGTGCATTACCCTAATGTAACTGTCCTTTTCTGGGCTTGTGCAATTACCCACACAATTCAGGAAAAGATGTGATTGATAAAATATTCCCAATATGGGTACCAGTTTGATGCAGTGGTTAGGGTATTGGCTTAGAAACCAGGAAACTGAATTCTAGTTCTGCCTGAGGCATGAAAAATCAACTGGGTTGCTTTGGGTCAGTCCGTCCCTCACAGTCCAACCCACCTCACAGAGTTGCTTTCTGTAGGGAAATAGGAGGAGGAAAGAACATTGTGTATGTTCATTACCTTAAGTTACTTTTAAAGTAGAATAATAAAAGCAGGATAAAATCTTTTTAAAAATATGCTATATATGCATGCACCCATGCACTTCCCAAATTGTACTTTTGCCTTTTACCAAATTCATATTGCTTCACAGATCCAAAAAAAACTTAATTTGTATAAGAAAAAAGGTCGTAACGATGAAATGAAACGAAGTGGCAATATATAATAGTTATAACAGGCACAATTAGCCATTTTGTTAAATTTTAAATTTGCTAATTCTTAACAAATTTGGAGAAATTGATGGGGATGGACATTGGAAAAGTCAGTCAAGAAATATCTAGGAAGATCCAGATAAAGTTAATACAAAATAGAGCTGAAATAAAATCTCCATTAGAAAATATTGTATAATACAAACAGTGAACTAAAGCTTTTAAAAAAACAATAAACCCTAATATTCACTGTTTAGGGACCAAATAGGCTGAGCTGAACTGAAAACTCACAGCTAGCCCTCTACTTATGAAAGATGGCCATAAGGTTCTCACCACCCAATTTTGAATTTACAACAGTCTCAACACATGCAGTCATGTGATTTTACTTTGGGTGTTTAGCAAACCAGCTCATATTTACTGCTGTTTGCAGTGTCCCATGGCCACACCATCACAATTTTCGACATTTTGCAATTTTCCGGTGTTTATTTCCAGTTTCCAATAAAAATGCCCATTGGATATAATGGATTTGGTTAATGACAGCTGCATTTGCTTAAGCACAGCATTTGCTTAACAGCTGCTGTCAACTATGTAAAGTGGTGTCCAATCACAACTTTACATGTTGACCTACTTAATATCCATGTTGACTTACAAACGTTTGTAAATCAAGGATTACTTACAATTGGAGGTTAAGTCTAGACTGACTGGCCTGAATTCTGCAAACAGGACATAGTCAAAAGAATGATATGTTGCCTGCTTTCTCAGAGAAGGCAAAAGAAAGCTGCGATTCAGAATGCTCTTTTTTTTTTTAAACAAAGTTATGAACCGCAAAGATCAAACAAAAATATTAAAAGGGAGAATCTACAGACACTTCCAAATGTCTTGCTTTCAGGCTATTTTCTCCTTGTTTCTCTAAACATTTGGTTCTGTTTTTATTTTTCTAATGGGCTTATTGCTATATTTTTAAAAAGATGAAACAATATATTGGACCCAGATGTCATGTTGCAGGACAGGGGAGAAAACCCCACAATACTAGGAAACTTAAGTATTAGAGCAAAAAGCGAGAGAGAGCTCTACCTTGGTGGAATCTGTTTTGCCTGACAGATGGGAAATCTGCTAGATTCCTTGTAATCCTGCGCACATTATCGTAAGCGATCTTGAGTCACAGCCTTGTCTTGACTACAAAGCCAGCTTACAACATTTCTGGCAGCGACGACGATAACGGCTTATACACCCACACCTCCTTCCTAACAGTTTCTTCGTTCCGTTGCTGGATATTAGACAAAGCTTTCCCAAATTTTCAGAATGATGCTTGCCCAGTTTTCTTCTGTAGGCGAAAGCCAGCTGTTAAAATAATAATAGTCTTGTAGTGATTCAGCCTTGACAATGGAGCTGTGCGGTTAAAGGGAAGGCAATAAATTGAGATACAGATAGAAAAGTAGGTCTAAAGTAGGTATAAAGGCTTAAACAGGCTTATTGCCTTGGTTTGGCAGGATTATCCTGGTCTGGCACCCAAATCCAGGCATCCCTGCCAACTTACAAAAGAATCCTGGAAAATAGGATTTAATTGCTTGAAAACATGATAAGCTTAGCTGAAAAACAGAGTTTGAACATTTTCTTTCCTGAGGTAAGAGGGGGAGCAGGTATACCAGAAAGCTCTGCCTTTTTCTCTGGTGCAGATTTGAGAAACTAAAAAGACCCCTTAGAAATAAATAGGACTTTGTTTCATCAACTAAGTTTTTAAAAATGTGACATGAAGTTAGCTGAGCTGAAAATGTATGGCTTTGAGGGCAGAGCCTCGAGTAGATTGTAAACAAAACTAGTACAGGTAGTCCTCGACATACAACCACAATTGAAACCAATTGTGTTTATGTTGCTAAGCAAGACGTTGTTAAGTGAACTTTAGTCCATTTTTTTTGACTTACATAGTTAATTGAATCACTACAGTTCTTAAGTTAGTACCATGGTTCTTAAGTGAATCTGGCTTCCCCATTAACTTTGTTTATCAGAAGGTTGCAAAAAGTGGTCACGTGATCCCGGGGACACTTCAACCGTCATAAGTCCATGCCAGTTGCCAAGCGTCTGAATTCTAATCACATGACCATGGATCATGCAAAAATCAGAATGGATTGCTCCAAAATCAGGACCAAAGCAGACAAGTGATTTGTGTTTAAGGCTGGACCGAAAGCAATTGAGGGGAAACGAGTCTGCAGGAGTGGACCCTGTTCAAAACGGAGTGGAATTCTCTGCATGAATGGAAGGCTCTTTGGCTTCAAGGACTCACCTGTTTTTTTCTTGTCGTGCCATAATGTCTCTGGTGACACTTCTTGGGCTTGGGTTTCTGTTGAACATCTGGCGTTTGGGGAAAGCCTTGAGAAGTATTTTCAGGATCAGCTGACTCAGGAAGGAGACCTCCCATCATGCGATTAAATTCTTCATCAGTCTGAGAGAAAAATGAAGTTACATTTCCTTTCGCTTCCAGTTTGGCTCACATTAACAAAAAGACAACAAGACTGGGAAAAGTGCAAAAAAAGAGCCACTAAAGTGATTAAAGGTAATAGAATGGGAGTACATGGCTGAAATAAACACTAGACACAAGTACATCCCTGTCATTTGCATCTCCAAAATTGCATAGGGGAATCTGGAAATCAGCACTCGGGTCTCCCTGGATGAACCTGACCTATATCATGTGATTTTTGTGGGGGGAAACAGGAAGATGGAGAGCTGCAGACGCAGCTTTGAGCTCCAGATAAATGACAGGATTTTAATGAACAAGGAAGGAAAGGAAATCCTAAATAAAACTTGGCATTCAGATCCCTTTGTGACTCCTGTTCGTTTAAAAAGAAACTCCGCTTGAGTTATAACTGTATGCGTGTAAGTGTAAGAGAAGGAACAAAGAAAAGAGCCAGCCAAGCTGTCCTTGCTGAAGTAAGACAGATGTTTTCCTTTCTGGCTGGTGACCTGCAGAGTGGGGAGACCATCAAAGCCAGAAGCTTCTAATCATCTTGCTTGTCACATCAGACAAATTACAAAACACTATTCAGCACAGAACAGTCAAAAGAGTAGGACAAGGATAGAGGACAGAAAAGAGCAATAGATGATTAAGGGACTGGAGGCTAAAACACAAAAAATATTGCTGGAATTAGGTAGGTCTAGAGGGGCTGTCACAAAGAAGATGGGGTTAATCTGTCCTCCAAAGCACCTGAAGACAGGACAAGAAGCAATGAGTGGAAACTAATCAAGGAGAGAAGCAACCTAGAACTAAGGAGGAATTTCCAGACAGTAAGCACCATTTATTAGTGGAACAACTTGCCTCCATAAGTTGTGAATGCTCCAACACAGGAAGTTTTCAAGAAGAGATTGGACAACCATATGTCTGAAATGGTATAGGATTTCCTGCCTGAACGGGGCTGGATCAGAGGACCTCCAACTTCTGTTATTCTGTTAAGGACCTGTAACCTTTATGCTGCTACTTAACCTGCCAACTCAAACATTCCGTGGGTGGGAAAACCTGTTTCTAAATAGCAATGGATGCGTGCTAATATGAAGTATTGGTACCAATTATAAAGCCTTAGTAAGGCCACACTTGGAGTACTGCATCCACCACAGGTCACCACATCACACAAAAGATGTTGAGACTTTGGAAAAAGTGCAAAGAAGAACAACTTAGATGGTTAAGGGCCTGGAGACAAAAACAAGAATGGTTGGAGGATTTGGATTTGGCTAGTCTAGAGAAAAGAAGGACAAGGGGGAAATATAATAGCAGTATTCCACTATTTGAAAGGTTGCCAGAAAGTGGAAGCGGTCAAGTTATTTTCCAAAGCACCAAAAGGCAGGACAAGAAACAATGGATGGAAACTAATCAAGGAAAGAAGCAATCTGGAATTAAGGAGAAACTGCCTAACAGTAAAGACAGTGAACCAGTGGAACAGCTTGCCTCCAGAAGTTGTGGATGCTTCATCACTGGAGGTTTTTAAGAAGAGACTGTCAACAGTCACCTGTCAAAATGAGATAGGGTCTCCTGTTGGAACAGAGGGTGGGACTAGAAGACCTCCAAAGTCCCTTCCAGCTCTATTCTAATTGTATGAAGATTTTTCTCCAACGTGCATGAGCTCTGAATCTGTGATATACTCCTGAGTTTGCTTACCTGTTGTAATGACGAGGCAGTCGAGGTGTTTGATCATGATCAACTGAATTATGATGAACTTTATTGGAGTCTAGTCTTGCATTTATACACATTTTTAGTAATCCTCCAACATTGGTTAACTTTGGTTACTGCTTAACTTTCGTTACTGTTTAGCATAATAGTAATTAACACAATTAATTATTATTATTGTGTTAATAGTAATTAACACAATTAATTACTTCCTCTCTCTAATCCTCCTTTACATTAGTGACTTTGTTTGCCTGAGTTGTAATTGCTTGTAAACATTCCTTATCTGAGGTTTGCCATCCAAGATAAGAACATTCCTGCAATTACAACTCTACACTTACCAAATCACTAAATTGGTTCATCTTCATCCAATAGGTATGTTTCCCCTCATCGGCCTCACGGTTGTGCTGCTCAACCATCTGCAGATTCTTCTCCCATGTAGCTCTCCGGGAGGCCTCTTCGCCCTAAGGAAACCAAGAATAGATGGTGCTATATTCTCTCCTATCTCAAAGCATCATTTGTGGGATGAAGAACAGTTTAAATTTTAGGTTCTCAAAATGGATCCAATTTATTTGATTTTTATCCCGCCTTTTATTTTAGAAGTAACTCAAAGCAGTGAACATACGTAATACTCCTTTCTCCCAATGGTGGTGAGATTGGTACTCAGAAAAGTAGAAGACCTCTGGGTATACACTGAGTATTTCTCCCTGCTCTACTCATCTGGGTGTAAGATGAGCTCCAACTCCTATTTATTCTCTAGGTTGCAGCATGTATTAAAATAAAATTGTAGGACCCTGAGCAAAGCCCACTGTTAGGGTTTGGGGATTAACCCCTAGAAGAGTATTGCAGCAGTAGT